AGGGAAGACCTAGTCACCATAAACTCAATGAAAAATTGGAAATAATAAAATTGAACAAGCTTCAACTTTAAATTTACTTTAATGTAATTTTTCAAGCCTCTGGAGCTTGGTGGAAACAAATTAGAACTATTTCTGCCAAAGCCAATAATAACACTAAAGCAATTTGGGACGTTTTTTTTACTCCAGAGGAGAGAAATGCAGATCATTTTCAAAGTTATAAACTGTAATGCTGGGAAATGCACAGGAATCCACCTACATCTATTTAAAATCCCTGTACATTGTTCAGACTATGCTTCTACAAGTGATCTTCCATATACAGTACTATGCTGTGTTTCAAATGCTTTGTTCCCCACAGAAACTGGTTTGATTTCACTGGAGATGAGAATCCATGTTTGCTGATTCTTTTATTGTCTCAAACCCATTTTCTTACGGCTTCAGAGCTTCATTAATTCTCCTTGATGGCTTTTCATCAAGGTGGAAAGAAAAAGACCTTCAGCTCTGTGTTATTCTGATAGTTCTGGCAACACTTTGCTTCCCTAGATTTAGAGTGTACTAAAGCAACAAGAATCTTTGACATAACTTGGATGGATTTGGAGGCCACAGCCAACATTAAGTGATGGGTGGGCTATAAATTAGAAACTTTATACCAGCAAACATCTTATTCCAGCTTGTTTCCCTCATTTTCTTACCCTCAGCAGTACTAACTCTCCATTCTTTGTGCTTCAAATTATGTGTAAACAAATGCTTACTACCTCTTAACAAAAAAATAATCTCTAATCAGAGAGATGCTATTGTTTCTTACTAAGATTGAAATCCTACTAACCTCAATCAAGTTGCTATGTTTCTGCCTGCCGTGATTTCCGTAAGAACACGTAAGATGCCTTATTCTTGAAGTGACGACATTATGAAATTTTTGTTTATATTTTTTTTCCTTTTGCAGGATTCCTATTTTATCCTGTTTATATTTGATCTTAAATTGTAGTCTGTTTTACATTTAATTCAATTCTCTCCTTTCTCCAATTTTAAAGTCTTACCTTTTAAAATATATATATATATTGTTACGCTATCTTTGTTGTGTTTGACCATTATTTCTGAGATGTTGGTTAACTTTGCTGGTCATTGATTATAGTTAAATGAGTTTGAATTTGAGTGTTGGTACAGAACTAATTATAAAAGTAACAACTGAATTTACAATTGAATCCATATTACATTTCATACTGCATGTAAAACAGCATTTAATATTTGTATGTTCAATGTTTTACAGATAATTATCCTGAATATTTAGCAGTTTGAAATATATTTATACATAAAATCAAAAATTATGGGGATTTTGCATATTCCTATAATACTGAATTATGACTAAGTTTTGTGATATATCAGGGACATATAAAATAGCATGTTCTGTAAATCAAGGAAATAGTAATTTAGACCATGGCTCCTAAGCAGCTTATCAGAAGTTCTCTTCAAATGGAACGTTTGGATTACTTTAGTGGTGGGATTCAAATATGTGAACAACCAATTCTCTGTGTGGATGCCGCTTCTGGAAGTCCATTCTAGGCCTGGGCAACAAAAAATTAGCTACCAGTTCTGCCAAAGTGGTGCGAACCAGCTGAATCCTAATACTGGATTACTTGTCTCCTACAATGAGAGCCCAGTTCATTAAGCAATCATTTTAAAATCTGCAACAGCAGTCCTGTGCCATTTAGTCTCAGGATGGATTCAGACATCAAAAGACATGACTACATTGGTAGTCTAAGGAGCAGTTTCAGACAGATAGGACTCCATGTTCCTTTGGTAAAGCCTCACCATAAGTTACATTACAGCAAAAGTTTCCAATAGTGAATCTGGAGTTTTATCTTTAAGAATGTTTGGTAGTTTGTACATCACTTTTAACATCATTGATCAGACTTGTCAGATTGCTTTCTTGCTAAATATATGACTCCCTAGGAACTGCCCCCCCCCAAAAAAAATTAAGTTTAGATAACATTTAGGGAAATAAAACATAGAAGAGCATGGGCAGTGGTCAGCTAGCTAGAAGGTACAAATAAAGAAATATTAATGTGGGAAAATTCATTCTGATATTGTTCTATTTTGCCCAGTGCTAGCTCCTTCAAGAGATTACAAGAATTTGCCAAAGTCTTTCATGAGAGATTTGTAACTGGAGTTAGATCCAATCCTGAAAAAGAAAAGCCTGTGAACCTGGGGCTGCTTGTAGAGTCTAACACAGGACTTTTCAACCTTTTCACCCATTGTACCACTTTTAGGATATGGCAATATCCAAGTACCACCAGGCACCTAGCAAGGTGTCAAAAACATGATGACCAAAAAAAAAAAAAAAAACCAGAAAAAAATGATAAAGTACAGGTAATCCTCGACTTACAACAGTTCACTTAGTGACTGTTTCAAGTTACAATGGCACTGAAAAAAGTGCCCCCCAAGCTACAGCCAAGGAAGTCACCTGCCTGCCCACCCGGCAGCACTCTTCCTCCTGTCTGAGGTTTTCATTGTTGTGAGCATTTCTGTTGAGGATTGGCAGCGGGGGTGGGGTGGGGGTGTTTGGTTTTTTTCCCCTCCGTCTGCTGGGTGGTTGCAGCAGGTTTGGTCACTTCACATGACCCTGGGACACTGTGACCGTCATAAATATGAATCAGTTGCCAAGCATCTGAATGTAAATCACAAGACCCTGGAGATGATGCAATATTCCAGCTGATCGACACTTCTTCTGGGGTCAGCAGAAGCACCAGGATCAGCGCTGAGCTCCAGCTGGAGCCTGGTGCTGATCCTAGCACTTCCACTGAGCCCTGACAGTCCCGAAGAAGCGCCGATCAACTGGAAAGCGGCATTGATCCTGGCGCTTCCGCTGAGCCCTGGCAGCCCTGCAGCTCCAGCCATCTCTCACTCAGGCTTGTGCAGTGCTGTCACCGGTTCAGTTCATTCCCCTCCCCCCGCTACCACTTTTTTAAGATGGTCGCGTACCACCTGCCAGGTGCCAATGTACCACAGGTACCATACTACTGGTTGAAAAGCCCTGGTCTAATATATCAGTTCTTAGACAGATTAGATGGACAGGATGTATAAAGGGGGTGGAATACAAGGAAGGAAGAATATTAAAATAGGTCAACATAGTTCTGTATGAATGATAATTCCTTATCTGTTACACATAGTAGTTAATAGAAGTTTTGTGTTTCTGATTTGTCATCTACATTTGTAGATGCAGAAGTGATCTGTGAAAAAAAGCTTTGCTATTTCTTTTTATATTTGGTGGCACCACTGTTCATCAGGACACATGCTTTCTTTGCTGCACTATATCCTCTTCACGCTTTTAGCTTTTTTTTTTTAACATGTAAAAAACTTCTCAGTGGGAAGGATTCATTTCTCATTTATTCACAGCAGCAGGGTGCTGCATTTTTATATGCTTGATTTGTGTGCTACTTGCTGCAAATATTGCCTTTAATGATTAATGTAATAATCATGGCATACAGAGGCTTTGTTGCTTCTAACTTCTTGACTCTGGCTAAAGAATCAGAAGCAGTACCTCCATGTGCACTCATAGAGGAACAGAATTACTTGGATCCTGACCAAATTAATCCTATAATGCAGAGGTCTCCAACCTTTGGGCACCAGGGACTGGTTACGCGGAGAGAGGTTTTTCCACGGATCGGAGGGGGCGTGGTTTCTCATGCTGCCTGCATCCCATAGATGGGGCTTTGCTTGTTTGTGTGGACCGGTTGCTTGCCATGGCTCAATACCAGTCTGCAGGAAGAGGGTTGGGGACCCCTGCTATAACCCATAAAAAGATATTAATCCCAAAGGATTCAAACACTGTTTCTATCAATAAGCACAATATTGAAAGCACAGATCTATGTGCATGAACCCAAGATTACTTGATTACCTGATTAGGATTGCGTTAAAAAAATACTTTCTTATGAAATTGATGGTATAATTTCTGGGCATCCCAGAGAGTTCTTGGAAGCTTGCCAATACAATCAGTATTAGATTTAATACAACTTTCCAAAGCTGTAACACTTCAAAGGATAACTGTAATGTTCCATAGTAGCTGGAAAATTGGCAGGTCAGGGAGAAAGATAGATACAGTTATACCTGACTTTCTACTTTTCACAAGTAGTTCTTGACAGAAGGAAAATGCTGAGATTTGAAATTTGCCAATTGTGGCCTAAAGTAAAATGATGCCAGCAAGACTGATCTGTTCAAATGCACCACTTGGCTAAAGAATTAGATATTTCAGTGTACTATAGAGCCAAGTCCTTCTGTCAAAATGATTTTCCATTTAGGAACCATCATAGCTTCCATGCATGGATCTGACATTGTCAGTGTATGCAAGAGTATCCAAGCAAACAAACTGCCTTTTTCCATAATGACACCCGTGCCTCTAGTGGCACAGATTGGGTTGAGTAAAACATCAGACAAAGTGCTTCCCAAAGTTGCAACAAAGCATCTCTCTTCAACTTATGAAAACCACCCTAGCTATAACAAGCCTTGTGTGGATGCTTTGAAAGCTGTTCCCATCCATCTCCATGTGCCAAAGTGGGTGGCTGTATAGAAGCCAGATTACTTTCCTAGCAGCTGCCCGAGCTTTTAGAACACTTGGCTGCTTTAAATGGTTCAAAGGGAGATTTATTTTATTTATGCCTCTACTTTTCATAATAGTGTGAGGCGTAACATATGATCTCACACATATCAAGATGCTCCAAGTCAAGGTACACAGTATTTAAATTGGTTATTAGGGAGAGAGAGGAAAAATCACAGGAGCGCCTGTATCATCCTTGGTAGTAAGAATCCAAAAGTAGAATTAAAAGTTGCCATGTTAGGACCGTTAGTATGTATTGCTGATGGGCATTTTAATGGTAGAACTAATGCACCTCTTTTTTAAAATACCTTTTAAGGAAAACAGCCAGTGCTTTTCACTTTGTCATTGTGTTCCTTAACCAATTGTCTTGTGTTGATTATGCTTTTTTTTTCCTTCCCACTCCAACTTACAGCAAACGTATGTGACAATGAACTTCAAATTTGCCAGAATGGAGGGACATGCCACAACAATATACGCTGCCAGTGCCCGGAAGGCTACACTGGTGTATTGTGTGAGAAGAGGAATTGTGATGTGGATCCAGATGGCTGCAGCGAAAGTTCAGGGCAAGGAGCAATATCAATACAAACCCTGCTACTTCTACTACCACCAATTGCTCCATTGGGATTAAGTGGGCTTTTTATATTTTAAGCTACGCAGCTTGGGAGACATCGGCTTCAGACTGCATTGAGAGGAAGGTGTCCAGAAAAGAAAGAAAAAGAACCAGATGCAAATAAGAATTTTCAAAATAAGGGGGGGAATTATACAATTTTCACACATATATATAGACTAAAGAAAAGGCCTGACTGAACTAAGCCATATGTATACCTTGTGGACAACCCAACCATCCAAGACTGTTACTTCTTGGCTCAAGCTTAAGTGAGACAGCTGCCAATACTATTACAACTACTCAACACAACAACAGCTGTAGGCACTTGCGCAGGTTCAAAAAGGCTTGGGTAGCCACCCCCGGATGGAAATCCAAGACAGAAACGACAAAAAAAAAACAACCTTGCTCTTTCAAACTGGTGTGCCTCCGTACCTCTTCCCAGTGTGTGGACCAACCAAATAGAGGCATTCTTTGCTGTCAGTGCATTGTGGGTATAAGGAAATCTGTTTCAAAGCTGCCATATTGGCCTGCTTCAGCCCCTTAATCCCCTTTTCCAACTGTGCTTTAGTGAACGTTGCTCTGTAACCTTTGTTGGTTGAACGATCTCTTTGTCTGATGTAGTAATGCACATGTGTACCAGCCCCAACTCAATAAATCTCAAGCCGGTCATATCCTTGTATATCTTAGAAGCACTGTGCCCTGTCGACACAGTGCTCCCCTATTGTACAAGAGTGGCAGTAGGACAAAAAGAAAGTATATTTATCCTTTTGTAATCAAATGAAGTTATTTTTCTTGACTAACGTAAGGCGTAGATTTTTTGTATTATTGCCAATTTGTGTTAATAATTGAGTAATGTACTTTAATCCTAATCAGATGGGGGGAGGGGAAGAGATGATTTTTAGTTCCTCTTTTGTTTTCCCTTTTTTATTCATTTAATTGTGCAGAGATTTCTCTGTATGGGCAACGTGCTGGCATCAAAGAATATCAGTTTACATATTATAGCAAGTGTAATAACTTACCACCAAAGGACATTCTAAATGTTTTCTTGTTGCTTTAACACTGGAAGATTTAAGAGAATAAAAATTCCTGCATAAACTATTTCTGGGGATTAGTACTGCAGTTTCTTGGTATTATTTTACCAGGTAGAAGACAAAGAAGTTCCAGTCCAGACTTGTGCAAGCATAGCAAAAAGTTAAAATTCAAATCTCCATGTTGTCTACAGAGATTAATTAAGAGTGACAATAACATGAGATCAATTGTTGAGGTCAGCAGACACTGGATAAGCTCCAATCAATTCAAGTTAGACTGCAGTCCTAACTGGGAAGTAAAACCCACAGCAGTTAATAGGATATTACAGTATTCTGAAAATTGCATTATCAAAATATTTATTATTATAATTTCAGTTTAATTCACCTATTCATTTTAACACCTATGGGCACAAGTCAAACATTATGCAAGTAAGTTTCCTTTTGCATAACAATACTTCTAGCTTCTTTCTTCTTTCTGCAATTTCCCACATTTTCTAAAACTCTTAACTTTTTAAGGGAAAATATGAATCCCTTTTCATCAAGGCCAGAATTTAATGCAGTATTATCATCACGGATAATTCAGATGTTCTGGCTGAAGCTTTCCTTCAAAATTCCAAATTCAGCATTACCATTTAATATCAAAATTCAGTTTTCTGTTACTTATTGGTTAAGGGGATGAAATTATGATACCATATATCCTGTTTTTAAGGGTTCAACTAGACACCAAATGTTAACAGGATAATTGAGACAATATGGATATTTTTTAAAAAAAAAAAAACTTAAATTAACTTTTAAAGGAATTTAAAATCCAAGATCATAAAAAGTGTTCTGCCTAATTGGAAAAAAAGGTTGACGGTACTGGGAATGCTTTGTGGAAGATATTTCCAAAATGTATAGGGTGCCACAACCCAGATGATTTTCTATTTGCCATTTTATTTGAAACAACAGATATTTAGTCCATACAGGAGACTCTGGAATTAATTTGGGTGAATGGGAGTGGAAATAACTATTCCTGTGGGTAAGAAACAATTACATGTTGAGTTACTATTCAATCTTTTTTCATCATGTGGCCAAATATTGAGGGCATTTCTGCACAAAACTCTGATTTGATATCAACCAGGTTGGAAATTTGTTTCCAGTTTAGTTGTGGTGCAGTTGAAACCAAGCAAGCTTGTATTTCTTTCTGCAGCACATTGATACGTTTTCCTATAGGAAACCAGCCTCACTCCACTTCTGCATCTATGGTTTCCCCTTTGAAGGTCCTTTCTTTTAAAGCAGGGATCCCCAACCCCGGTACGTGGACCAGTACTGGGCCGTGGCATGCCAGCAACTGGTCCGCACAAACAAGCAAAGCCCCATCCGTGGCATGCAGGCAGCACACAAAACCACACACCGTCCAGTCCACAGCAAAACTTCTCTCCACAGAACTGGTCCCTGGTGCCCAAAAGGTTGGAGACCTCTGCCTTAAAGGGAATCCTGACTAGACAGTTTGTATCTCTCCCTTAGTAGTCCAAGGTACAGAATGGGAATAAAATATATAAGACTATCAGTTTTTTCCCTGGAATTGCAGTTAACTTTCCTACAAAAGGCCAGGCTCCTTGCATTTTTGACTCCCCCCACCCTTTTGTGTGGAATTAGGATTACAAAGAAGGATTTTTTGAACTATAGACTTATGGCTGCTTGCAGTGAGACAGTGATTGATGAAACAATCCCTGGTCCTTGTGTCCCATGTTTCTGAGCTAATAGAATTAAACTTCCAGATCATTTCTTCCTAAGAATCAGTAATGAAAGTTATCAGTGACCTCAGCTGGACAGTCAAAAGAGGCAAGATGGCAGTTAGAGCAGCACCCATCTCAATCAAAGCCTTCTCCCTTTTGTACATGCGTCAATGTCACACACACATATAAACAGCAGAATTTCACTTGCAAGGTCATGACTGCTCTCCTGCCTTATCTGATCCAGAGTCCACTGGAAATAGTGTTGTAGAAGCATATGGATAATACCAGAACTCTTTATTGTTTTTACAAAGATATTTCAAAGCTCTAGATAAAGAAAAGACCAAAATATTTGCAGGCTGTGATAATATTTGCTGTCAAAATTCCACCAAGGGCAATTTGTTTTATTATATACTTGCTGGAAATATATGCATATGTTCATGAAACAGATTCAGGTTACGGTGAAAAAAAAAGTATGCTATGGTTGTATTAATTCAGATCAACAGAACTTTTGTAAGCAACATATTGCCTTTTCTTTTGCACATGTGCTCAAAGAATAGGGTTTCAACAGAGAAAGATTTGCTTCTGCTTTACCTAAGAAGACTGTGTTGCGCCTAATGGTCTCAAGCTTGGATGCTTAGGCCACAGCATCCTTTGAAAATCCTTTGAAAATCCATGAGGAGTCTGCTTCTTATATCCTGTTAAGCAGAGGGGGGCACCCCCTGGCCCACTACTGGGCCGTGGCCTATTTGGAAATGGGTCATGTGAGTAGCTAGCCAGACCTTTCATGAACACAGCTCAAACTGCATGAGCGATGGGCTGATGGGCATTCACATGTGTGTGCCAGCCTGGCACTCCCTCAAGTTGAGCTGTGTGCATGCATGCCGGTCCGCCACTGACATGGCCCAGTTCCCATCTCCCCCCCCCAGCTGGCCCACCAAGCCGCAAAGGTTGATGGCTGCTGCTGTAAGGTAAGAAATAAAATTATGGGATTGACATGGAAGAGAGAAGGCACCTTGTACTAATTTACAGCCAAAATGTCTCTTCAGTGATTGAGATCAACAGTTAGTATACTTTTGGGGAAAATGATAAGAAAGTGCAGGAATTAAAATGTTTAGGCTCGTGTGAAAGGGTTTTATTGGGTTCAATACAATAAGCACACTAAATTTCATTAAATAATATGGATGTTTGGAGCTGAATCATATAAAAAGCCTACAGCTATATTCCATTGGAATATGTTCAAGGGTTTCTGCAGAGGAATAGCTGAAATCATAAAAGAGAAACAATGGACACCATTAGGATATCTTTGTGTCAATTACAGAAAACAAAATAACCAAGTTGGAAGCAACCTTGGAGATCTTCTAGTCCTCCTGCTTAACAGGAGATCGTATACCATTCCAGACAAATGGCTGTCCAATCTCTTCTTAAAAACCTCCAGTGTTGGAGCACCCACAACATCTGGAAGCAAGCTGTTCCTATGATTAATTGTTCTGTCAGGAAATTTCTCCTTAATTCTAGGTTGGCTCTCCTATTGATAATCTTCTTGTCTTGTCCAATATGCTTTGGAGAATATTGGAAGACAGTTATCATTTGTTGAGTGCTTCTTCTGTTATAAAATGGATATAGATAAAATAGATATAAAAGTGATAGTCTGGACAAAATCAGTCACATCCCAAAATCCCGCAAAGCTGGACCATTCCTAGAGGTACAGGGGTAGAAAGGAAGAGAAATTAACAAACTTAAGAGACTTCAGTAGGAGCAGCTTATGGGAAAATTTTGCAGGGATAAATGTCACTGAGAAATCTGTAAGATCTTTAAAGAACTTGGCCCCACAAACATGAACAGCATTACCCCCAAGGGAGGTTTAAGTGATGGTATTTCAAGTTAAGGTGATTTGCTTGCATCATTGTTATCTCAGTGAAAATCATCCAAATACATTTCTGGAAATCTTAAGAGAAAGATTTTTCAAACTCTTTTTGGAAAAATATCTAGAACTTGACTGTAATAACACAGCAGTAGATCTTATGTTAACTTCCCATCTGAAATATTTCAATATATCCTAAACTTTAACCTAACTAACAAGGTGTACAAACAACTCCTGTAATACATATGCACAAAAATAAAAAAAAATATTTCTTCATGATTTCATCTTTAATAGACCCTTATTTAATATTTAAAAGAAGTGTCAAGCTATACAGTGGCATGGCGGTGGAAAGGGCTGTTCCAGCAAACAGTTTATTTTGAAGCCCAAGGTGTAATAAAATCCTGCTCAATTATTAGCTCAATTATTTTGAGTGATAGCAAGAGGCAGAGCAACAGAAAGAAGAAATTGAGGAAAAAACACCAACCAAGGTTTCAAAAGCAAGTAGCCAGAGTTGGCAACAGAGGTGAATTTGCTGATGAGCAGATATTCTGTCAGACCCAGTGCCAATATTTTATCAATATAATTGCCTTGAGTGGAAAATAATTAGCAGCAGCAAACTCCATGGAGAACTCCATGTGTTATTCTCTCCCTCCCACACTAGTCTCTGAAACAGCAGCTACAGTTTTAGAATTTCTTTGGTAGGTTTTCCTTCTTTCCTAGGAGAATGAATGTTTTCCTGGCCAATCGTCTATGGGAGCAATCAACAGGAGAAAAAAGTCTAAACAGTCTAGATTTTCCAGATTTCTTTCTCAGGGAGCTTAAGCCCCCCACCCCCCGCCGCTGCTGCCCAAAAAAACCCCAACTTAAGCATTGAGTGAAGTGTGTCAAGACCATTGTACTAATGCAGTTGGTGGCCTATTTTGTTATTCACACCAGCAGCCTTTAGGGTATACTGGAATAAGATAAGCAAAGATAAATTAAAATTTTGGCTGACTGCCAGCCCCATCCCACATGAAATTGTAGATTCACACCAGAAGTGTACTCATGATAATAAACAGAAAAACTATATTGCAGCCTTACCGAGAAGTGTAAATGCAAATACAGCTGATTGGCACACAGCACCAAGGATTACTTATAATTAAAGTGGATTTCTAATATTAAAATGTGGAATTTAAACTTCCTGGAAATGTATTAGAACAGATGAAAGAAAACACAGGGCAATTGTCATAAAAGTTGTACTTCAGCTATAGTTGTTCCTTAAGAGGTAGAGCACATTTTATTAAATTGAAATTTGCAACCCAATCTAAATTACAATAACAGTAAAATGTCTTTAATATCTCTGTATATCTAAGGCAACTCTGGGGTTTTTTTTCTTTTTTATTCACTGTAGCCATATTTCTCAACCTTGACAACTTTAAGTTGTGTAGAGTTCAACTCCCAGAATTCCCCAGCCAGCCATGAATTCTGGGAATTGAAGTCCACACAGCTTAA